TGTCACATGACAGAAAAATGTCTAATTAGCCACCTAGCCAAATTTGAATAATAAAAAAAGCCGGCTAAGTAAATAAAATAAGCTATCAAAATCTTGAAAAAATTAGCAGATTCTCTGCTGTCAACCGCTCTATGCATGTCTGCTGGCTGCGCTGAAACCACTCCCACTCGCGGGAAAGCTGCCGACGGTGACATTAGGTGATACTGCTTTCGGGACAGGGAGATGAAGGCCGGGCGGGAGATAGTCGGTTCGGCCCCATTCACCAGTAACAGCGGATTATCAGTGAAGGTTCAGAGGTTTATAAAACTATCCGTGTAAAATGACTACAGAGGCGGGTTTTAGCAGTGATCCTCAGTTCTCCATCAAGCATAGCTGTCAACATTGAACATTGAAAATAAGGGAGATTTCCCGGAATCCGTAGCCAAAATAAGGGATTTTTTTTTTTTTAACATTATTAAGAGCATAAGAAACAAATGAAAAAAAAAAAAAAATATTTTATTCCTATGTTATGCTATGACCTCTGTAGTGGACACCAGGACTCGATTGTTTAAAAAATGACATGAAAATATATATAGGCAAAAATAATGGAAATTTTTGACATATGAACATCGTTTTTTTTTTGGCCTGGAAACGCTTCCAACTGAGTGTCGCGTGGAAAATAGGCATCTGGTTCTATTTCTAGCATGCACGCGTTTGCGCGTGTCACGCAGGCAGTGTGCAAGCTCTAATCTGTTAACATGGGAGCCGAAATAAAAACCATAGACAGTAAAATAAAAACGGCCACGCCACGCAGCTGAGACGCACGCAGCCAATGTGTCTCCGGCCAGCGCGCGCAGCGCTGCATCCGAGTATGAACGACGTCAAGCCGAATAGGTCCGAGCTTGTACGTCTCACACAATCAGAGCGTAAAAATACGGGATATTTTACGGGAAAATACTAAAACGGGAAGACAGCGGGAACAGAGATAAAATACGTGAGAAACCCGGAAAAAACGGGAGGGTTGACAGCTATGCCATCAAGGTGGCTCTTTACATAATGAATCCACCTCTTCTTGATGTGATAATTTTTTGAAAAATGAAATGACACTTGATGAAGGCATAGCTAGTTAGCTAGCAAACTAGTCTGTAGTAACTAATAGTACTGACAGTAGCTCACGATTGAACGGTGATCTGATGCGAATGTGCTATATTGTAAGGGGAGGGGCCAGCCTTTAAGGATTTAAGGAATTTTAAGGATTTTGGTAATCGACATATTTTCATAATTAACTAGTCTTCGTTTCTCTGAATGATTAGCTTTTCTGTCAATTTTCTTTCAGTCTGACAGTTATTGTTGAAAGGTGGTGAAATATTTAACAAAATGTTTTTTTTTTTCTTTCCGTTACTGTATATTATGATTGAAATCATGAAATGAACAATGTTACATTTTTGAATAATTTTTTTCATGGACTGATTACCTCTGACAGCACACTGGCCCTCATTTATCAATCTTGCGTAGAAACAGGTGTATATTTTGGTGTAAGATTATGCTTACGTTCCTCTCACCGCCTGATTTATGAAGATGTGCGTACCTTTGAAATCCAGGTGTACACAATGCCTGCCCTTGATAAATCCCGCGGCCGAAAACGATCGTCATTAGAATAACACGCCCCTAAATATTCAAGTCTCCGCTTCCCCCACGCCCTTATTTTACGCCATGGACACACGGAAGACGGCAAAGAAGAGAAACTTCTCCGACGTGGAGCCGAAATGACCTATCACAATGCATTATTTTACAGCACGTCTTTTGAAATTAGCATTCAATTTCGAATCACGTCACATGTATAATAGTGATGATGATGATGTGATGTGAAGTACCATTCATTCACATTAATAATTGCATGACAATTTGTAATAGTATTCTTTCTATTATTATGATTTGCATTAATGATGCTTATTGTTATTTAGAAGAAGGATGTCGTTATTATTATTTCTATTATTATTATCATTTAAAAGAAGAAGAATGTATTTTTTATTATTTTGTCAGTCTGAATTATTTTTTTGGTAATTGAAAGCCTTTCATTAGGCTACCGAACCCAGTCCGTGCGAACCTGCCGGGGATAATCCTGAAACGTCAGGGTAAAGTGGGCTCGCAACTGAAGGAATATATGCTTACAAATCAAATGCTTTGGTAAAGTCACACAAATTAAACATTGAAGTTTTGTGGTGTTAGGAATTTTTCTGCGCATTTCCTCACTAACTCAAAACGTGCGTACACCACCTCCTGAGCTGGTGTAGGATTCAAGCGTGCCGTACGCCAACGTCCGTATTGATAAATCTCAAACTCACCGTGGTTTTGAGTGTACGCGAGGTGTACGCTGGAAATGTGGTGTACGCACTTTTGATAAATGAGGGCCACTGAGTGCAGCACCATATGTGGGACATGCTAGCCAGGGATCAAATGGGTTTTCCTTCTTTTTTTTTTATCTTTAGCTGATCACATGCCTAGTGGTGCTTTAATGGCTGCTCTGATGATACTTTAAAGGGTATGGATTTAGAGATGCAACTTATTGGAGAGATGCTAAGCTGAAAAGTCTCTCTAAGAAGTTGTCTTTTATGTATCACCTTAAGTTTTAAACACAAACAAATTCTACAGCTAAAGCAAAAATAGGTTTAAAGTCGAATCAAGGGTGTAAAATTCTGCTCTTGGAAGGACGCCATCCAACAAAGTTTTTATTCTAACCCTAATTTAATGCACTTGAACTGGCTAATCAAGGTCTTCAGTATTACTAGAAACTGTCAGACTTGTGTGTTAGAGCAAGGTTAAACTAAACTCTACAGGAAGGTGTTCTTCCAGCACAGGTTTAGTTTATCCATGATAAAATAGTTGGCACATCTAGTTCTAGATTCTGCTCAAGTAATCTAAAACCTATGATTTCTAACATGATTTCTTTCTGTAAGGATCTCCCAGTCACGTGACCCCTAGCCGTGTGTCAGTCATTTTGACGGAATACATCCCTCAGCTACTCATGCCCCATCCACACTACTGCGTTTTCGTTTAAAACGAGAATTAAAAGGAGAATTAAAACAAATACAATCTCAGCCACACCGGCGTTTTATCTGCATATTAGAAATGATCTTCCTCCAAATTAAAACGACTGAAAACGCCGATCACGTGACCATTCACCAACTCTGGGCATGCGCGTGCCGGTGTAAACAGTGCCTGACAAATCAGGCAAGGATACGCCATGACTGATGACACCCAATCATAGAGCCGAGCGTGGGCCTCTGCGTCAGCGTTTCTGAAGTCCTCCGTTTTGTTCCGTCTACACTAAAATGCCCTCCGGAGATTCAAGACGCAAAACGGATTCGCAAATCAAAAGCATTGTCTTTGCTTGTGGGGAAAATTCCCTTCGAAAACAAAACTCAGCCACTGTGTCTTCAGCGGTTCGGATTTAGGAACATCAAAATGACTGTTTATTACACCCAAGAACAGAACACCACAGTCACTTAGACACCATTCTGCTCCAGCGTATCAACAATGACGGACTACGATGACAGCTCGCTCAGGGCGAATTTGTGTTGAAACACTGCTGTCAATCAACAATCGTGGGAGGGACTTCCGATTTAGTGATGGCACAAAATCGAACGGCTCGATTTGAGGCAGGGGAAAACATATAATGAGGAAAACAAAAACACTGGATAGATTTTTATCATTATATGATGGTTGTGTACAGGCATTTCCGACACACATTTCACTATAATCAACTTGAAAAAGTGCATGTACCATTATATGACCCCTTTAAGAAAATAACAAACCCTGCACCATTGTGGAGTATCACTAGTGCCACCGCACCATCACAGCTCATTCACAGGCTAACAGCCAATATTCTGACATGATTGTTTATTTTGTTTAGTCTGTAGAATAATATGTATGTCAACAGCATTTCTTTATCTTGAAACATCCAGGGCAGCTGCATTTCTCCTGCTTTCCTGCACCCAACACCAACTCATGGTCTGAAAAAAAAAACCAATATATTCTGTGAGCGGCTTCCTTAAACAGAATA